TTTGATATTTATTCTTTTTATATTCCAATCACTTTATTTAAAATATATACTTCATTCAAAGATTTCAATCCGATAATCATTTGATATCAGAGGCCACTCTCATCGATAGCTTTCTATTTGTAAGTAAAGATAACCAGAATATTCATAAATAATAATTAAAACTTATGATATTTTATCCATATTATGAAATTTTTAATTAAAATTAAAATCATCTAAAATTTCAAAATAAATATATATATATATATAGATAGATACTTTAAACTTTATGTTCACTAATAAATTTGGATACAAAAAATGCACGAAATAACAAATTACATAGGGAAGATTATTTGGATTTTTTTATTAATAAAATGAATTCAAAGGCTTCAATTTCCAAAAATTTATGAATGAATAACAACAATATTTGTTATGGTTTAACAATATTTTGCTTAACTTATAGATTTATGATTTTTTCATCCGTATATTTGTTCAAAAACATTCAATAAATGTATGGAGCAATCCAATTCGATTTGAGATATATTTTGATATTTATTGAGGAAAAATTTTCAGGTATTTAAAAATTTTCTCGGCTTCACAATATAAAAAGATATTTGTCGGGGTATTTCAAAGTAGGAAAGAAATATTTTTTATATCGATATTTTGTGCTGAGAATTAGTTATTTGAAAACATTTCAATTTTGTTAATGTTTTATACTTTGCTAAATTAATTTGTATTTTTTTAATTTGAATTTGAATTAATAATATATAAGTATTTTTGCCGGATTTTTTTAATGAAATAAATATTTAAATAATTATAATTTTAGTTCCGATAAACAGTTTTCTAAATATTTTAATGGCCAAAAAAAAAAAGAAGATTCATAATCTATTGTTTTTGGTTCTAATTATTTGACGATCTATAACTTTATAAACTGGAATCGAATAGTTTATGCATCAAAGCAATATCATGTTATGTAAAGGTCATAATCAAGAGGAATTCTGCGGATGATGATATACTGTCAAAACAAGATTTAAACTTTGAATTTTAACATTTTGGGAATAAACATAAATTAAAGGATAGCAAAAATGAATATGAGGTTAAAAAGAAAGAACAATCAGAATTTCATTTGGAATAACAAAAAATTACACAAAAATGAGTGCATAAATTTTTTCAATAATTTATAAAATCTATTACTATTCTTGATTACTATAAATCTATAATAAAGAAGATCATAGTATTCTAAATAGAATTTTTACGATCAATTAGAAATTAAGCATTTAAAGTAAAATGAAGTTTATGTGAATTAATAATTATTAACCAAAGAAATCAAAAATGGCAATCACTATTGGAATTCAAAAATTAGAATATAATAAGAAATCAATATAGATTCTTCATTAATCCTAATTATGATATATAAGAAATTTTATCAAATTTTGAAATAAAATTAAAGTTAATTAATTAATTTGTTAAATAAATATCACTTTTAAAGTAATAGTTTTTGATTCTTCTGAGTCAATAATGGTTTTAATCAAATATAATCAGATGAAAGAATGGTGGTTTCTAATGAAACTATAGAATTTAAACAAACGTTGTATAGACATACTGATTGGATCTATTGCTGAGTTTATAGTAAGAAAAATAATTCCTTTATTTCAAGTGGGGTAGACATAAGATAAGATTCTGGTAGTAATTAACTTAAATAATAATCTTATTAACAAAATTAAGAAGAAGTAATGTTTATTATGTTGAATTCAAATTAGGATTTTCTATTTTCTGGATGTCTAGATAAATTAATTAAAGGGTTGATTTTAATCAAAATAAATTGACATACTGGTATTTATTGGACAAACATAATTATTATGTTAATTAATTAAGTGTAAATTATTTAGAAACATAATTAGTATCATGTGCGTAAGATTAGAATTGAATTATTATTTAGGAAAGAAGAGAAGTTTGAATTCGAATATTTTGTTATAATAGATGAAATTTATAGTATTTAGTGTATTTATAATAAATTAATACTTAATAGATTAATTGAATCTCAGTTATTAATTGTTCATCTATAAATTATTCATTTAAGACTTAGGGTTTAAAGTTAAGTTTATTTAGGAGAGTTAATTTTTTTTGGGTGACTGGTTGTAAATGAAAAGATAAGTCATAGAATATGATCAAATCAAGTAAAGGCTAAAGTTTTAAGATGAGTTAGTTAAGGAAGCTATGATGTATCAAATTAGGCTCCCTCTTTGAATATCCTGTTTTGGAAACTTTAGGGTTGTTCGTCTGAAAATACAAAATTAATAGAAAATTCTAAACTCTTTCGTGGATTACTTAATAATAGTCAATAAAAATATAGAATAGAAATATGAAATTCTCTTTGATGAATTTTATAAATCTTCAGATCATTAACTTCGCTCTATTGAGGTAAGATTCCTTTGGAAGATCTATTCTAAAGACCTGTGATAAACCCTAAAAAGTTTGGATTTTAATGAGATAATTTTATTAAATACATTTAGGTAAATATATTCATAATTATTTAAGAATTTATTTAAAAAAAATGAAGAGCACAAATTAAAATAAAGGCGACTTTTTTGAGATTTTAGCTAAAATTAAAGATATTGATGATAAAATACTCGATTTGATAATTGAAATATTTAGAAAAGAAAAAATTTCAGATTGTCTTGAATTTCTTTAAAATGTTGACATTTAAAAATTTTAAAGCTTATACATCGATAAGAATAAGGAGATAAATGTTGAAAATAATGACAATTAGAAAATTACTTGTGCTATTCAATAAATTAAAATACATGATTTTAATCTATAAAATTATTCATCAGATATCTACAAAGAAAGTAAACAATATATAATAAAAAAAATATCTAAAGAAAAAAAGATTATTGAGTTTTTGAAATTTCTAATTCGCCTCACAACTTTTGATACGTAGTTCATATAATGTGGATCTAATTCTCTACACTTATTAGTTGAAATGAAGGTTGATTTAACTAATCAATGTTTTGAAAACATTAAAATTAAAAATACTTATTTGGTGGGAGCTAATTTTTTCGGATGCAATTTGAGTGGATCTGAACTTGATAATGTAGATATAAGCGGAATTAATTTGAATGGAGCTCAATTATTTAATTGCCAATGGAAAAATCTAAAATTACATGAGCTACTTCGACTGGATGGTCATATTAGTAGTGTTAATTCTATATGCTTCTCTCCTGATGGTACTGTAATAGCATCTGGTAGTGATGATAAGTCTATTTGTTTGTGGAATTATAAGACAGGAAAACAAATATCTAAATTATTTGGTCATAAACTTTCAGTCAATTCAGTATGCTTCTCTCCTGATAGTACTGTATTAGCATCTGGTAGTGATGATAAGTCTATCATTATATGGAATTTTAAGACAAGATAGCAAATATGTAAATTATGTGTTCAAAGCAAGATCAATTCAATATCCTACTCTCCTGATGGTGCTACATTAGCCAATGGTTGTAGTGATAAGACGATTGGATTTTGGGATGTTAAGACAAGAAAAAAAAAATTTTTAATAAGTGGTCATAGCAATTAAGTCCTATCAGTATGTTTCTCTCCTGATGGTTCTACTTTGGCATCTAGTATTGGAAGTTCTTATAGTAATGCAGATAATACTATCAGTTTATGGAATGTTAAAACAGGATAATTAATTTCTAAATTGAATGGTCATGATTATTAAGTAAATGCAGTAAGCTTCTCTCCTGATGGTACTATATTAGCATCTTGTAGTTCAGATTGCTCAATCTATTAATGGGATATTAAGGCAGGACTAGATTTAGCTAGATTATATGGTCATTCAAAAGAAATAAAAACTGTATGTTTCTAACCTGATGGGACTACATTAGCATCTGGTAGTGATGATTAGTCTATCATTTTATGGGATGTTAAAACAGGACAATAAATAGTTAAATTGATAGGTCACACTAAAGTTGTCAATTCAGTATGCTTCTCTCCTGACGGCACTATAATAGCATCTGGTAGTTAGGATAGCTATATCCATTTATGGGATGTTTAGGAAGGAAAATAAAAACGGAAATTGGATGGTCATAGTGAATGGGTTGAATCAGTAACCTTTTCTCCTGATGGTAACAAATTAGCTTCCAGTAGTACAGATAATTCAATCTGTTTATGGGATGCAAAGACAGGATAATTAATTACTATATTTGAGGGTCATGGTAAAGGAGTCAATTCAATATCTATCTCTCCTGATGGGACTAAATTAGCATCTGGTAGTGATGATAAGTCTATCATAATATGGGATGTTAATTCAGGATAATAAATAATCAAATTAGAAGGTCATAATAGTGGTATCAATTCAGTATTCATTTCTCCTGATGGGATTACATTAGCATCAGGTAGTGATGATAAGTCTATCATAATATGGGATGTTAATTCAGGATAATAAATAATCAAATTAGAGGGTCATAGAAGGTTTGTCAATTCAGTATCCATCTCTTCTGATGGGATTACATTAGCATCAGGTAGTAGCGATAAGTCTGTGATTTTGTGGAATTGCAAAACAGGATAATAAAAATTTAAATTAGATGGTCATAGTGATTATGTTAGATCAGTATGCTTTTCTCCTGACGGAACTATATTAGCATCAGGTAGTAGCGATTACTCTATTCGTTTATGGAATGTTGAAACAGGACAATAAATAGCGAAATTAGATGGTCATTTATTTGTAGTCACATCTGTATGTTTCTCTCCTGATGGAACTAGATTAGCATCTGGTAGTCGCGATTACTCTATTCGTTTATGGAATGTTGAAACAGGACAATAAATAGCGAAATTAGATGGTCATTTATTTGTAGTCACATCTGTATGCTTCTCTCCTGATGGAACTAGATTAGCATCTGGTAGTTTAGATAACTCTATTCGTTTATGGAATGTTTAAGCAGCACAATAAATGTCTAAATTAAAGGGTCATCGTAACAATCCCACATCATTATGTTTTTATGTAGATAGGACGAAATTAGAATTTTTTTTTTCTGATAATTCCATTTGTTTATGGGATGAAAAGACAGGAAAAGAAATTAAATCTAATGAAAAACGGTATGCAGATGTTTTGGCCTAATTTAAAACAACTTATTAAAACTTATCTTTTTCAGAAGGTAATATATATTTTAATAAAATTTAGTTACCAATAATTAAACAGTTCTACTTATATCTCAATAGCCAATATTTTAAGCATAAGGAAGCTTAATTATGAAAGGAGAATTTATGAATTATTAAGGTGTAAATTTATTATAATTATTCAAATCAAAAGGAAGTATAATTTTAGAAAGTTCAACAGAATTTAATTTAAAAAAATGAGAATGTGAAAAGTATCAAAAATATCATAAAAATATTGTATTTAATCTTTTTTAATGATATTTTAATCAATTACTGCTCTTGGTTTGATTCTTGGAAAAGATTAGAAATATTATATCACAAGAAAGTAAGTTTTGTATTTAATCTTCATCAATAATCATTTGATGATTTGATTTTATTCATATAAGAGATGATGGTTTATTCTAAGTCAACTGTCCTTTTCCTTTTGAATTCATATTTTGGTCTAATTTTTTAATAATGAAAGCAGAAGCTCATAAGATAT